CTAGAGTTAGAAAAACACTGCACTGTGAGCCAGACCACATATACAGTTAAGACTACAATTGATATAAAATATAGTTTTCCCTGTCATCGATACCCATCCCTCTTTCTTGTGCCCTGATATATCTAATTTTATTTTAAAGTCTGAATTCACTCATTTCTTTCCATTAACAGTTTGAAAATCATTATTTTGCTATTATTTGAATATGGTACTTGGATTCCCAAGTATCATATCAGCATAGTCATACCATTTAAACAGGTTTCTTTTGGTGGTATTTCTATTGTTGAAAGAAAACAGCATTTATTTGTCAGATCCATTGTTCTTGCTGAAAGGAAATGCTTTTATTATTAATTTTGCCTTTGATTGCTACTATACCACAAAAGTGCAATGACAATGAAACACATCCGAACTTAGGCTGCATTTGTCAGTTGATCTTTTTTCATCTGAACCAGCCCATCCCTGTTCTTTTTGTCAGATTCAGTTGTTTCCAGTTTCTTCCTGTTGATTCTCAACCACCACACTTATGTAAATTATTCAGACTAGAAACATATTTGAACATACCACAGTCTCTGCCATGTTTCCCTACAGATGGCAGCCGGTTGAGCTTACCTTGTAATTCATCATCGTTACTAGCATTTGACGGGTTGGCAGATGAAGCATGCTATGGGGCTTTGTATAAACATAGAAGAATATGATTCATGACTCTAAGAATATTAAAATAAAATTATATCAGAGGCAAGAGCCATATTCTATGCTTAATCATGGGATGTGGTGACCATTTGCGGATGCGACTACATCATCCTTCCACGGCAGTAGTGTTTCCAAATGACTTAGTCAACTTCTGCTAAGTTAAAACAGCAATTACATGAGGTGCTTTTTCAAAGTGTTTTTGTTCTTCTTGCTACCAAATTCAATTAACAGAACTAACTCTGAGTAACTGTCTCTTGCTTACTGTGGAAAGCACTTTATTTGGCAGCAATGGTAAAAAACCACATTTGAATTATAGGTGGTTTCTACAGTAGAATCAAAGAATCCTATTTTCTCCTTTAAAATCAATAGAAAAATTGCTACTTACTCTAGGTTTTCTTGACTGTGTGCAGACAAATGTGGCAGTATGTTTTGTTTCAGGGTAGTTCTCTGCTAGCAGAGTGATTTAGTTTCCTCTTTCCCTATTCAAGTAAAAAAGATCCCTTTGCATCTCAAAGGCAATATTTTCGTAAATAAGCAATAAATTGCATTGATTGTCAATTTTGTAAAAACTAGTCTTGGTAAAAAGCAACAGAAAATATCACACTTTGGAAAGTAACATTTTTGCCTTTTTACTTAATAAATAAATAAATCTTAGCCAGGTATGGCACAGAAGCTGTTAATCCCAGCACTCAGGAGGCAGAGATTAGTTACAGGAGAGTCAGGGCTGCGTAGTGAGACCCTGCCTGGTTTCAAAAAAGAAAAACAAACAACAAAAAAAATTTACTCAAAGTCACATATTCAAAACCGATGTAATAGATACTTAGGTCCTTTAGGTTATACAGAGAATGTTTATTATTCATGGCATTTTTCCAAATATATTTTAAGAAGTTAAAACCTTGTCAGACTTTTTTCCTCAGAATTCTAAGTGCTTCTATTATTTTGGCATCTTGAATCAGCAGTTCTAAAAACCCTCTTAGCTGAAAATTTTCTGTTCCATGATTATTCTGTTATCATAATGAAAATTTGTCCACATAGATTTTGCCATATGTCACTACTGGCCACATTGAGAATATATTTCCATAATTGTTTTTACTTAAAAGTACTTTTATGTATGTTTGTATGTGTGCAAAAGTTAGGTGAACAATGGAACCCCATTGAACCATTCACATTAAAATGCCATTAAATAAGAGAATGTAGGAATGCATATTCAAAACTTGGTATTGAGCTTTACCAGAGATTAACTGAAGCTAGAAAAAAACAACTTTTAATATCCTAATTTTTACCCCAATAGTTTGAATCCTAAGAAAATATTAAAAAGTAGGAATTGAAAATACTTAACAGGTGCAATTTTACTAGTGATTTCTATAAAGCCAGAAAGAATATATTTTTAAAAAGCCATGTGGGGGTTGAAGAGATGGCTCAGTGGTTAAGAGCTCTGGCTTCTCTTGCAGAAGACCTGGGTTTGCATCCCAGCACCCACATGGTGACTAACAACTGCCTGTAACTCCAGTTCCAGGGGATCTGAGGCCCTCTTCTGACCTCCCTTAGCATTACATGACATGGGTGCACTTACATATATGTAGGCTCATCACGTAAAATAAAAATAATAAAATATTTTTTAAGAAGCCACGTGTTATGACTTTCATTGAACAATAGCTGGAATTAGTGGCAGATATTTACTATTTGTGTCATGTTATTGGTTTCTGTCAGTATCCTCCTGAACATCATTAACTGAAAAAACAATAAAAAGTGGGAATATAATATACATAACAATAGGCCCATCAATCTTGGAATACACCACTTTAAACATACATGGGGGGAAAAATGAGTGGATTATCAATATTTTTTCAAGTTTGTACAGATAAATAACTATAAAGGCATTTATATACTTTAATCTTAGAAAGAAAATTTGGTCATATTAATAAATATTTGAGAACAATTATCATCTGTGTCTTTTTCTTTGCCTATTTAATTGTTCTGTATAAAAAAAATTCAAGCTAAATTTGTGGTCAAGGGTAGTGGGCATTCACAATTTGTTCATTCCTTCAGTTTTACAAGTATGTTTAATTACAACAGCTTCAAAAGAAAAACAGATTTTCAAAAGTTTATTTTAAGTTTGAAGACTAGACAAGATCATACTGATTTTACAACATCCTACATGATTTAAGTATATATACAAAGAAAAAATAATATTGGAATATTACACAGCTTGAAAGTTTGCAAAAGTTATGTGCATCTTAGTTATTTCTGTACTTACTGACACATCAGACGCCAGCATTCAATGTTATATTTCATAACTTCTTGTCCAGGAAAGATATAGTCACTAATACCCGAAGTCTTCAAAATGTATACTATCTTTATGAAGTCATTCACAAAGAGAAAGTCAACCCTAAAATAGGAGCTAGGATCAATTTTGAATAAGAAATACAGAAATGAATACATTTAATTTTAAATTTTATAAATTATAAATGATCATATGTTAACTACATAATATATTGACGACAAAGCAATTCTGTGATTTCTGTTGGTGAGATTTTACTTGTTATGGGTAAAACTAAATTAAAGAAAGCTGCTCCACTTTGGAATCATTTATACAAATGACACAGAAGCTACTTCACAATAATTACCAGTATTTCCTATGTAGGAAACCGTTGTTGACAAATATATATCCTGCTGGGCATGCCGTGTTGTGAATAGCACATTGAGCAGAGAGAAAATGCATAAGCAAAAGAAAACAATTTCAGTGACTTTTTCAAAGGTAGAAAATATCATTGAAGCCAACTCCTTGGGAAAATACACTTCTAACCAGGTATCAATAGAGTAAAACCCAAAGCATCACATGAAGCCATGAATAGTTTTGAAAAAGTGACTCATCACAAAATATTATTTATAATCTCTAAAATATAGCCTTAAGATGAATAGTCTGCAAAGAAAACATCTAGAATTTTAATTGGATAGTTAACCTCAAAATAAATAAGGACCATGGATGGGCTAGACATAAAAGTTGTATTGTTAAAATAATGCATGTAACATTATGCTAACATTATCCATTTAAATATTGATATTCATACTTTTTAACATCATCTAGAAACATAGTATTGAGGATGTTGTTTTGTTTGGATAAACCTTGCAAACTATTCACCATTTTAGATACTGAAAATCACCATGTTTCCAATAAGAATCTAAAATAGTAAGCATGTGAGCATAGGACCAGTGTGCGGCCGGACAGCCCCTTAAAACAATCAGCTTGTGGTTATTCAATATGTTAGAGTGATTGACTTTCTCTTTAAATTCTTTGCTGTGATTGAAGACCACTCCATATATACATCATTGAGAAATGCTGTTAACACGTTGACAGACAGGACAATAACAGTCTAGTGTCTTTGTTATGCAGCACAAATACTGAAGAAAAAATGAAAACACAGCAGTGTTGAGCAGGGCCTTAGAATTTCGTACACATACCATCCTATCCAGGACCGTTCATTTAAAACTCCAATAATCCTGTGTCTAAGCCTTAGATAATACATATTTGTGATGCTTATAAATTAGGTATTGAGGACATTTATGGAGGCAGCATGGGATTTAGCTTGAGACATATGTCAATGAAACCCTCATCATCAATAACAAATTATTATGATAATTGCTTATTTTTCCAGGACCTTTGAAGCAAAAGAAATAGAAATCAATTTTCATTTTGAAAATGGTTTATGACTTTGTCATTAGTAAATACATTGCTTCTCACAGACAATTACCCAATACGCTTTCCTGGGAAACCATCATCACTTTAAAATATCAATAAAATTTTCATTTCACTGGAAATGTGGAAATGAACAAAGAAATTATGAGTGTGCCTGGCCTAGCTGTGCAGCACTGCACTCTTAGCCATTTGCTAGTATTTTTAAACATACCAAGAATGAGTCCGTTAGTTCAAGGAAATGAAGATTTCAATTCAAGAGACATGATATTTTGTTATTTTTAGCAAAATTGCTATATGGGATTCTTCAAAAAGAAAGCATTTGGAAATTAAATAGTTATAGCTTCCTTCAAAAATAAAGTTCTAGTTCAACTTAATAACATTAAATGTAAATCAATTTACACATATTCAATCATGTTCAGTATATATAAATACTTGTTTCCTGTGTATAAACATAACATCTTGAGATAAATAATAGGATAAAATTTCATTTGAAAGAATACTGACTTATTTAGGTAGTATAAGAATAATACAGACTTGAAACAAATGAGTAAAATTTGCTTGATCTATGACCAGAAATAATGGAAATATAATGAAAATTATATATATTAATTGGTTCTGCATATTACAGATTTTTCTTCAAATCTCTGTAATAAACACTGATAGTTTTAGGCACAGGAAAACAATCAAGATACTGCAAATTCATTACACAAAAAAACTTATTGCTAACATTTTAACATTTCTTTTATAAGAATTAGTTGAATAGTAATCATAAAGGCTCTATCAACTCTTATTTGATAACTATGCGTTTCTTTAATTTTGCTATAAAAAGAAGACTGTTTTCTCTAACATACTTCAACAAATGTATATAATTCAGAAAATAAGAAAAGTAATTCAGAGTTAATGTGATGTTACTTATGAGAGTTGAATAGTAAAAACAAAATTTGATTATTGTAAAGGCAGTCTTAGACTTTCTTGAAAAGGCAGTAGCCTACCATAACTTGACCACTTTTTCATGAGGGGAAAAAAAAAACAAAACTCATTCAGTTTCCATCAGATTTTGCACAGTTCATTTCATGGAGATACTTTCAGGGTAACAAAGAAAGGCGATGCAGGCTATGTGTTTCCTTCATTCCTCCTCTGTGCAGCCCAACAGCTCTGACCGCAGCGTGATCCTTCCATACCAGGACCAAGGCAGGATTCTTATGTGTCGTGCATAGATGGGAGGGTCGATGACATTTTTTCTGTGAGTGTCATTGTCAAAATTGCCTTGAAAAACCTAGTAAAGCAAAGCAAAGGATGTCAGTTGTATAATCTTTTTCTCTCTGGCACTTTAAAATTTTTCTTATGTGGAGTATGTTCACAAGTGTAATGTTTGATAACTATTAACTTTCTTTTTCAGAGTCATATTTATTTACTACGTGAATACGTCTATGTGTAGAAACACGGGTATGTGCTCATGCATGTGTGTGTGTATGTGTGAATGTGGAAGCTGGAGGTCAACCTTTAATGTCATTCCTCAAGAGCTGTCCATCTTATTTTTTGAGACACTGGGTTCTGGGGTTCATAGACTAGGCTAGGCTGGTTGTCTCAAGAGTTCCAGAAATCCTCCTGTTACCATCTGCTGAGCGCTGGAGTTATAAGCATGACCCACTCACTATGCCTGATGTGTTTTTTAGGAGCTAGACATTAAACTCAGGTCTACTGAGCCATCTGTTTGTCCTCTAATTTTCTTTTCTATAAAATATATTGCAAATTCTTTGAAATTGTTTTCATTTGAGCTTAAAATATTTATTTTAAAAGTTAAATAAGTCAAGGGTTGATTTACTATGGAGGAACATGTAGATCTATCATTGTTATCTGTCTGTCACAGCTGTTCAAATATTGAAAAAAATTGGCTCATGCCATAAAATGACATTGGTCAGGCAGCTTGTCTTATTTGTTCCCATCCAAGGAGTGACCTAGATCCAAGCAGTATGCACATTGCACCCATCATTTGGAATATGTGACCTTTATATACAGAAGATGATGTGGAAAGAGTTGCTATATCACACAGAATGTTTTATAGAGGCCTGGAAGAAGAGTACATCTACCACCTTTAAATCTTACTAGTTACTTCATAATTGAAAAATATTTCTTGTTCTTGGTTGACTTAAATATAAGACCAAAGAGGCAACTGAATTTGAAACTCCAAGAATCAAGCAAGAAAGGAAGGAGGACAAGAGGGAAAAAGGGAGGAAGGAAGGAAGGGAGGAAGGGAGGGAGAGGGAAGTTTTATCAGAACAGAAGACTTAACCCCTATCTTCAAACATTCTGTAATTAAAGGCAATGCTTTAATATGACTTTCTAGAATAAGTTGCCTCAGTTTTCTATGGTAGCCAAGGAAACTCAGGAAAGAAAATACAGAAATACTGTCCTATAGCACTAGGGAATGTGGTGAAAATTAATAGAAACAACAGAAAATATTTGGTTGTCTTTTTGTTGGATTTTCTCAAAGATCATTTGCTCTGGATGACAAATACAAAGTACTGCTTTTATTTGGTATTGTCATAATTTATCAATTTGACAGGAAATATATCTCAAAGACTATTCTTTAAATATATTCACTCAATAAAAGAACACTGACAAAAAATTGGCTAAAAGAGGACATGGTGGGGCAGGCCTTTAATTCCACCACTCTGGAGGCAGAAGGAGGCAGAGCTCTATGAGTCAACAAGTTCAGGACACCTGGGGCTACAGGGACACCCTGTCTCCAACAACAGCAGCAACAAAAAAACAAAACCAACTAGAATAGTGGGCCATTTTAAATCTATAACCCACCATTCTTTGTATTTAATTTATATTCATTTAATAGGAATTCTGTTTCCAGTAGTGACATAGCCTGCACTAACCACAGAGGAACTCCTGGATTTATATGTGATATTTAGCAGCAGTGTCTTTATTAGCAAGAGCTAGTGTGTTCAGAACATAGCATTAAACAAAAACCTTAAAGAACCTACCACTGTAAACTACAGTAGACAAGGGTATATGATCTATTTTCCTGACATTCTCTAACATATGATGCTGAATTGGATTGAGATTGAAGTCTTACAATTTAATATGAAATCTAGCACCCACCTTTGTAGGCCTGCTAAAGAACTTTATGCATATCTTTGAAGTAATGGAGTTTGTATTGATTTACTTGAATTGCAAAATCTATAATAGTTCAAAATAAAGTGGTATACCACTTCATGGGGAGGAAATACAGAAAAAGACGTTCTTTTTAAGTCTATACTCCTCAGTACAGGTTTCTGTAAGGAGCTATCAAGGCCTGAAGTGTTAAATGATTAGCTGTATTTACTTTTTCATAAGATAGAATCTACGTTGAGAAACTAATTAATTCTGAAACTAAACATGACTATAAAATTTCCGAAGTAATATGCAAACATCATGGATATTTTTACATTCATTAAAAAAAAACAAGTGGAATTTCAGAAAAAAAAAGATAATCTATGAAATAAAAGTCTCCATAGGAAACTGCCCAGATCTATATTAGAATCCCCAAACCACAGTCTGCCAGTACTGAAAATACAGTCTTATTTTTAGAGGTCTCTCAGTAACGACAGGACAGAGCATAAAGCACAAAGCGTAAACTTGCTCCTTTTCAGAGGAGATTTTGTACTTGCTGTGCAAACACACAGCACATGTCTGTTTCCTTGTCTCTAGCACAGCGAGAAGCAGTTTCAGTGTTTTACCTGGCAAAGCAAGCAAATGCAACATTTTTGGTTGAACTAATGAAATTTGTAAGATTTCTAGAAATACGTGTTTCAGGCACCCATTTAAAGATATAAGAACCTCTATTGAAATCAGGGTCCGAAAAGGCTGATGGAAAATACTGAATCTCCACAAAGAGGAAAAAACATTATACATGAGAAAGTTGCAGTGTGGTTTACACAGTTTTGGAAAAAAAATATTCACAAGTTTTAGTTTAGGGAGGTGGTTAATTGGCTGATGACAAGTTTGCTGATGCACTCAATTACAATAATGCTTAGGAGCTCTCATAGGCAAGTAAAAGGTAACTTTAGAGAGATTTCCACAGCCACAACCCAAGAGACGATAAGAGGAAGAAAAATGCAATTCCCTGAACGTAGATGAGTTTCAGGATTTTGTTTTCTGTTCTAAACTCTCCTGTGACGCTACTTAAAATTCAAATCAGACTCTAGTGGGAATTCAATTCTCAGCGCAGACAGAGTATCTGATGAAATATGACAATGAAGCACTTCTTCTGACAATAGTTTTCATGCATTTTTAAGATGATATTATCATTGGTGTCTATGGGCTGATGTGTATTTAGACCAGTGCATATGCCATTAATTGGATGTGGTAAAGCATTGTGGAAAAAGGGAGAGTATCCTTCAGGAGACATGCAGAAGTTTGGGGCATAGGTCAGTTTACTTTGTTGATGTTGTTTAAGACAAGGTGTTCTTCTGTGACCCAGACTGATCTTTCAAGGAGCAATCAATCATCCTGCCTAAGTGCTGGAATTACGGGTATGTAGTACTACCGTGCAGCAATCTTAATTTGGGATTCTAAGTATGGAGGAACAGATGGTGATTTTTTTTCATACAAAGTATTTATTTTAAAAAGTCACCTGACTCAAAAAAATAATTTAAAAAGGAAAAGAAGAGAAAGAATGGCTAGAGAGATAGCTCAGCTGCAACAGCACTGACTGCTCTAGCAGAGGACTGGGGTTCAGTTTCCAGCACCCACAAGGCAGCTAACAACTGTCGGTAAATCCAGTTGCAAGAGATGCAATGCCCTTCTCTGAGCTCTGTAGGTATTTTGTCACACGTGGTACATTTACATAAATGTAGGTAAAAACCACTCATACAATTAAAAAGTATCGCCTGACTCATTAAACTGTACTTCATTTTATTGGTTCCAAATTTAAAATATTAAAAATTTTAAATGTAGGGGCTGGAGAGATGGCTCAGCGGTTAAGAGCATTGACTGCTCTTGCAGAAGACCTGGGTTCGATTCCTAGCATCCACATGGCGGCTACGAACCGTCCTTAACTCCAGTTCCAGGGGAATCCGAATCCCTCTTCTGACCTCCGCGGCACTGCATGACACGGGTGCACTCACAAATATGCAGGTAATACACTCATACACATAAAATAAAATAAAAAATAAAACAACAATAAAAAATTTATCTGTATTTTCATCTTACCTATCTTTTGGAATTTATTTTCATGTCCTAAAATAGTGAGTGGTTCTAAATGCTGTTATATTGCCTTCCAGAATTCTCTGAGGCTAAAGCCCCTATCTTCTCCTTAATTTCATTAATTAATTCATTTCTATTTTATGTGTATGAATGTTTGCCAGTATGAATTTAAGTGCACCCATGAATGCAGTGCTCTTGGTGGGCAGAAGATGATTTCCAAGTACCTTGGAAATGGAGTCATGGATGCTTGTTAGACACCACGTGGGAGCTAGGAACCGAACCTAGGTCTTCTACAAGAGCAGCCAATGCTCTTAACCGCTGAGCCATCACTGCAAGCCTTAGAATCAGCATCTTAGTGAGGGCTTTCATGGCTTTCACTTCATTCCTTGACCTCCTGGCTGCTTGCTTCTAGGCTGCATTATTTCTCTTTAGATATAGTAAGGGCCAAATCATATCTGAAGTTCTACGTACTTTGCAGATATGAAGGGTGACTAGATCTGCAGTTTTCTGGATTGTTTGCCTTGTTAATTGCTATAGCACAAGCACACCAATGGCTTTATGTACATATACACTGTGTTGATGTACTTAAGGAATAAAGGACAAGATGAAAAAAAGAAATCAATTTCCCTAGGCAGTGTGTGTGCTTGTATTTTGGAGCAGGGGAGGAGACAGATGGTGCAGAAGAGAGAATTCCATACTTAGCATATCTAAATTCAATCACCTGTCCTTTCACAGAGTTCATATAAGAGAGAAATTAGAAATGAAGAGTCTTCTCTATAAAACTTGTTTTAATCTAATTCTACACATACAATGAGAGAATTTAAGTTAAAGAAATTCAGATATACTAAAGAAATTCAGATATACTAACAACTGTTCTCTATATTTTGGAAAAAAAAACATATTTATTGGTTGGTTTGTGTATGTGTATCTGTGTGTGTGAGGGAGAGAGAGAGAGAGACAGAGAGAGAGAGAGAGAGAGAGAGAGAGAGAACAGAGAAAAGGAGTTTGTTAGCTCTGTCCTCTGTGTGAGTCCTGGGGATGGAACTCAAGTTGTCAGACTTGGAAAACACCCTTACT